GGAGGTAGGGGGATGGGGGGGAGGTAGGATAGAGGAGGGAGGAGGTAGGAGAGAGGAGGGAGGATGGATGATGAAGGATGGAGAAGGGAGGCGGGAGGAGGAAGGAGGGATGCAGGGAGGGATGGAGGGAGAGATGGATGGATGGAGGGAGGATGGATGAGAGGGGATGGAGGATGGAGGAGGAAGGAGGGATGAGCGGGGAGGATGATGTGGAGGAAGGACGGGGAGGAGGAGGATACGGATGAGTGTGGTGATGATGCTGCTGCTGATGCTGTTGGTGATGATGCCGATGCTGATGCTGATGATGATGCTGATGCTGTTGTTGATGATGATGCTGGTGATGCTGATGATGATGATGCTGCTGATGGTGATGCTGATGCTGATGCTGATGCTGATGCTGATGATGATGATGATGATGATCATGCTGCTGCTGATGATGATGATGATGAAGATGATGATGATGCGGATGATGATGATGATGATGATGATGATGATGATGATGATGATGATGATGATGATGATGATGCTGATGATGATGATGATGATGAAGCTGATGATGATGCTGATGATGATGATGGTGATGAGGGGAAGGCGGATGAGGATGATGCTGAGGATGATGCTGATGATGCTGATGAGGATGCTGCTGTTGATGATGCTGATATTGATGCTGCTGATGCTGCTGATGATGATGATGATGATGATGATGATGATGATGAGGAGGACGAGGAGCAAGATGAGCGGGACGAGACGGAGGAGGAGGAGGAGGATGCGGAGGACGGGGATGACGATGAGGAGGGGGAGGAGGAATAGGAGGAGGGGGAGAGGGAGGAGGGGGAGGACGAGGATGAGGAGAAGGCGGATGAGGAAGACGAGACGGAGGGGGAGGACGACGAGGAGGAGGAAGAATGGGAGGATGAGGAGGAGGAGGACGAGCAAGACAATGGTAATGCTCATGATGCTGATGATGATGATGATGATGATGATGATGATGATGATGATGATGATGCTGCTGATGGTTGATGTTGATGATGATGATGATGATGATGATGATGATGATGATGATGATGATGATGATGATGATGCTGATGCTGATGCTGATGCTGATGCTGATGCCGATGCTGATGCTGATGCTGATGATGATGCTGCTCATACTGACGATGCTGCTGCTGATGATGCTGATGATGATGACGAGGAGGATGATGCCGATGCTGATGATGATGAGGATGAGGATGAGGATGAGGAGGAGGAGGAGGAGGCGTTGGCGGAGGCGGAGGCGGTGGTGGAATCGGAGTCGGAGTCGGAGTCGGGGTCGGAGTCGGAGGAGGAGGAGGAGGAGGATGAGTAGGTGGAGGAGGAGGAAGAGGAGGAGGAGGAGGAGGATGAGGAGGAATAACAATAAGACGAACAACAGTAAGCATACTAAGAAGAGGAGGAGGCGGAGGAAGAACGCGTCGGACTGAGGTTGCCAACTGAAGAGGGGGAGGCGGAGAAGGAAGCGGAGGTAGAGGAGGAGGAGGAGGATGAGGGTGACAGCCCAGCCTAACGACTTAATATGTGACAGCCGCCGCCGTGCAGGCGGGAGATGACTGTGGTGGGGAGACGGAGGGTGGAGGCAGGATTCTGATGAGGGGGATGAGGAGGAGGATGAGGAGGAGGATGATGATGAGGATGATGGTGAGGATGATGATGAGGAGGAGGTGGAGAAGGTGGAGGAGGATCTGGAGGAGGAGGAGGAGGAGGAGGAAGAGGAGGAAGAGGAGGAATAGTGAGGAAGGAGGAACGAGGAGAAGGAGGGAGGAGGAAGAGGAGGAAGAGGAGGAGGAGGAGGGAGAGGAGGAGGAGGAGGAACTCCCTCCTCCTAGGCCCCTACAACGAGTCAATTCCATTGAGGGAGCTGCCTCGTTGGAAGGCAACCGTTTGAAGACTCTTTAGCATGCTAAAGCATTGTTCTCGGGATTCCAACGCCACCGGTCAATCTGACTGTTGCGAATTGACGATCCTAATCGAGCCAGAACGCCATACCTAGGACTTCAACACAGCGAATCAACGTAACTGTTGCGCCCGCGTAACCCTGAATCCTTTCAACACACCATTCCTGATACGCGGATCATGGGGGTCAGCGAAACTCTTGCAAATATTTGAAACGAATGTGCGCCGCGCTAAGGCGAGAGCCACATTTTGAAAATGACCCGCCGTCAATCCGTGAAACTCTTGCACAGTTTTAGAACGAATGTGCGCCGCGCTGAGGCGAGATCCACATTTTGGAAGCCACCCGCCCTCAATCCCTGAAGCTCTTGCAAATTTTTAGAACGACTGTGCGCCGCGCCAAGGCGAGAGCCGCATTCTGAAAACCACCCGCCCTCCGTCTGTGAAGCTGTTTTTCAATTTTTAAGCTTCAGAGGCATAAGTGGTGAGGAAGTCTCAGGCGAAACGCCTGGCCCGCCCTAACAACTTGTTTCTGGGTGCGACAGGAGGAAGTTGTGTATAAGAAAAAGTGATG